CGGGGCGTGGGCGGGGCTGGGGGCGGGGCCCCGGGGAGTGTCCTCCATTTGGAGGCACAAAATATGGTAACCCTACCTTTGGGAGCACTCAGGGTTTACAGAGGGAGCTCCATTTCCTGGGACCCTTAAAATCCTCACAGCTGGGGAAGGCATCTGAGCCAAGCTCTTGCTCCAAAAGCCTCCCCCTGCTGCCAGCCTCCTCAGCTGATACCTTGTCTCCTCTCTACCAAGCCCCCACGTCAGCTATTTATGTGACACAAAGGGATTTTTGCAGCAACTTGACAAAAGAAAAAGTGAGGGCACTACCGCATGGTCGTATACGGGGCCTTGTCAGAGTAAGGGAAGGTGCAACAGAGTGCGCACATTATGTAGAAAACCACTCTTAGGGCTGGTCCACACTAACCCCCCACTTCAAACTAAGATACGCAACTTCAGCTACGTGAATAACATAGCTGAAGTAGAAGTATCTTAGTTCGAACTTACCGCGGGTCCACACGCGGCAGGCCCAACAATGCAGCCTAATTAAAAGGGTCCTATTCAGGGCAGACACAGTAAAAAAAAAAACCCACAAAACTCCTCTGGAAACACATTTCCTAGGTGCTCTTTTAGAAGCGTGAGAAACTGAGGGAGATGAGCAAGTTCCAAGCCCTAAAGCTCCTAAAAGTAAAGCACAAACACCAACTCAACAGCAGAATGGCGAGAGAGCGGGTGTTGTCAGAGCCTGTTAGAGGGTGAACTGGTTCTTTCATCTGGGTTACAGCTCAGCCTTATCTATGACAGGCTTAGCTCACCTCCCCAAGATGTGGAAATTAATAAGAGGAGCACATGTGACTAAGAGACCTGCTGGGAGACATGGGCAGCCTGTGGTCAGTCAGGAGAGAGACTCCAAGGAAGGGTGTGCTCCATGAGAGAGCAGAAGACCAGCCGGGAAAGGGCCAGCAAGGAGGCCAGGCTGAGCACACAGGAAGAGGTTCTGGGAAGAAAAGTCAGGGCAGTTTGGGTTACAGGGCAGAGTTCACCTGTTTGGGATCTCAAGGCTGGAGACTGGTAGAAGAGGGAGGATATGGGTGCTCCAATGCTGCCACTCTATGGAGTGGTGCATACACCCTTGTCAATAAGGGAGAAGATGGGAGAGTTTGAAGCCCAGGAAGGTTGGCCGCTGAACCAAAGAGAAAAGCTAAAAACTGTTGAGGGAGAAGAAAGACACTCAGAAGACTTGTGCCTGGCGAGAGTCGGGGGCAGAAGAATGATTTTGTTTCCTTTTGGACTTTAACTTTGGAAGAAGTGAACTATTGTGACTTAGTCAGAGGGGTGAGTCACTGCAATAACCTAAAAGTCCTGGATGACTGCTGAGAGGGGAAACCGAGGCAGCAGATGTGCACAGAGGCCAAATACTAGCCAGGCAGGGGATGAGGTTTCGCATACAGCCAGGGCCTTAAAAACCAACAGGACCAGCTTAAAATCCACCATCAGGCACCACAGGAACATTGCTCCATGAGGTCAGAGTCCAACTATGTCAATAAAAACTTAAACTTAGATGTTAAGGGAATAATGGAGACTGAGAACTTCCGATGTCTTTAAATTGCAAATGGCAGGCGCCAGAACATGACACAAGTGGCCACGTACCCCCAGGCATCCAGTCTTTCTACAGCCAAGCTTCAATGTGTAGTCACAATAAAGCTGACAACAAAAGGAACAGTGTGCACTGTACAGCTGCTGGGATTGATTCTACAAGGTCTACTTAATTACATGGGTTGTAATGAAACCAGAAACCAGGGTAGAGCATATGAAATGGAGGCTGCATGCAGACTTTAGTTACAGAGTCAGGCTAAAACTTTTCATGCAATAAGAAGGTGACAGATGGGGGCACGTACAGAAATACAGGATGGAGATCAGGTCAGAGTCAAAACTGTGTGATTAGCTTACTGTCTAAAGTAGACGGGGAAGACGGGATTGGATTTATACAGCCCTGGCTCCCTATATCTCTACACTTACACAAGGAAGACCCAATTTATATTAAAAAGTTCTTCAAGATTCTTCAGAAATAAAGCTACTAAAGGAGTATACCAACACTTGGGTTAGAGCGAGAAAAACTGCTGTAGCCAGAAAAAGAAACATGATTAAAGAAGCAAAAATGCTCCCTTAAACTAACAGACTTCTAGCCGCATTACCATTCCTGAATTACAAAGTCTAGATTTACATTTTCTGGAATGCTTGGTCAGTGGAGAGCTTACTGAACAAGATGATGTAAAGAAAAAATAAAATTGGACCCAGATTCTTTGTCATTAAGCTGGAGGCCTTATTAGAATGGAAATGGACTATGGAAGCTCATACCATCACCTCAATAATAGCCCAGTCATTTCCACATGATTGCTGTTCAGAGGGCTGTAAGAAATGAATGGTGAAGAAGAGGCCAAAGATTGAATGGCCACAGAGACTGAAATTCCCTCTCAATCAAGGAGTAGTCCCTTCTCCAGGCCAACTACTGAGGCAACCTGATAGGGCAATATGGGGATTCATAGTGCTGTATCCCCTCTGTGGATAAAGAGAGGATCCTGGTTTCCAGGTCTAAAATGGAATCATTTAACCTGCAATAAATTCACTTAAAACAAGTTACATGGAAAATAATATACATTATCTGTTAAGGGTCCTAAAGGGAAAGAACTGTTCAGCTGAACTGAGACAAAAAGCATTCTAACAGTGCTAACATTCAGTGTCTGTCTACACAAAATACTTGACCAACTAATACTAGGGTATCACCTAGTATGCTGTTTTATGTCCATACTGCATAAACCAGATTAATTTTTTTCAGTAGTTCAAAATTTTAATTATAAAATGCTCCATTAGTGAGTGAGTTAAAGTGAAAATGTCCTTCCACTACCTACAGTACTTGGATTGTTTCACAGGCCCTGGGATCACACTATCATTTTTTGATTGTAGCACATATAACTTCCTTCCACCAGATGTCACATGTCTAACTGCAGACTCAGTAGAGAGGCCAAGAACTTTAAGGGCCTTTCAGGACACTGTGTGGGGGAAGCTTGCCCTGCTGCTGCCCTGTAGATGGAGGCCCAGTCTACACTTAAAACTTAGATTGACATAACTACAGTGCTCAAGGGTGTAAAAAATCCATACACTGGACAGAATAGCTATGCTGACTTTACCCCTGGTGTAGATGCAGCTTGGTCGATGGAAGAATGCTTCCGGTGACTTACCTACTGGTGCTTAGGGAGGTCCAGAAAAACCCTTTCCATTGCTGTGGTCTACGTCTACACTATGGGGTTAGAGCAACATAGCTACGGTGAAAAACTACACCCCGACTACACAATGAGAACTAAATCCATACAATTTATTCAGAGCTGGAGTTCACAGCTGCAGGGAAATTTATATCTGTAAATATGCAATTTAGACCATTAATTTGCATAAGGTGACACATGGAGCAGCACAAAACTTGATGGCTATGAGCTAGTTTAGATTTTATCATTTGTTAGTTTAGATGAGAGACCATGGGGAAAATCCTGATTACTGGCTTTCATCCCAAGGCATATAAAATTGGGCAATGACACACAGAAATCCATTTTTTTTTTAGGATCAGACATTAAGAGCAGCCCTTAATGTCACTGCCCTGCCACGACACTTCATTCTCTGGTAGATGTGACTTCTAATGAGGGATTTTAGGCACTGATTTCCACTCCCTCCCCCGCTCTTTATTTATTTAGTAACCAGCCTGTTCTTAACAGGAATAAGTGAAGGAAAGTATTGGTCACTTTCTGTTCAGAAATGTAAGACTGTTTGCAGTCCTCTTGCCCCCAGCTGAGAAGGTCAGGGGCCAGTCTTTAAATACTGAGATATGGAGGAAAGAGAGGCCAACAAAAGCGACTCATTTATTTTGAGACTTGACACTAAAATTGCTGTTACTTCCAGACTATACCCAATGTTTACTGTTCTTCAGTAAGTCAGAATTACTAAGTTATTCGTAAAAGCCAAAATGCACTTACAAAAAGCAGTGTAACTTGAGCTGCAGTATATCTTGATTTCTGTTTTGAATGAAATACTTCCAGTATGGTCTCTATTTTATGTTTGTGTTTCAGTTTCCTAGAGGACAGCTTGCAGAGTTACTCTTGACATACAAAACAATGCTAAAAAGTGGGAATTCAGAACATGTTTCTAAACTTATTTACTGAGTCACTGACAGGTAGGGAAAATATCAGGTTATGTGGCAAACACTTGAGCAAAACTGTTGTGGTATATTTTTAAATATGAAAATCTTGGCTGCATTTTTCTAGGGTTCTGATTATTCTCTCCCAAATGTTTAAATGGATTTTGAGACATTTGTAAATAAGGGAAACATGGTAACTAGGGCCTGGTATTATAATTAAGATAAATTAAGCTGTCATGGAGGATATAAAACTCCTGCTGAGATTATTAAAAGTTAGTAGTATGTGTCATTGAAATGGCTGTTTTTACCTTTTAGTGATGGAGTAGGAGAAAACTGATGGAGCGTCAATCATCACACAGCCAGTAAGATTTAGGAAATCAGTCAATTGCCAGGTGGATCTCATCTGGGAACTGGCAAATTATAGGGTTTGTGGACAGTCACTAAGGAGGACGTGAAGAAGGGAGTGTTTCTGGTTTCTGCATGGAGAGGTTGGGTCAGGATCAATGGCTTCTCTACAGCAAGTTACTGCATGGCAAATCAGGATGTGAATATAGAGTGCACCAGCTGCACTACTGCACAATGAAAGCCCTAGAGTGTGGCATGGCTTACAACGCTTTCAAGGAGTAATACAGCAAGCTCCACTATGGGATTTTCACTGTGCTGTAGCAGTGTCCACACAGGACATTATTGCTCGGCAGCTTCTGCACTGTACTGGCTTGCTAGGCAGTAAAATGCTGTGTAGACAAGCCCCAAGTTCTGCTTCCCCATCTCTGATACCCATATATTTACTGTTACTAAACTTGTAAATTCAGTGTGTGTACAGTAATGGATCATACACAATATGTGATGGTATGTTATTGTTCATCAGAGATCAGATCCGGGGTCTTAAATGTTCAGCTAGTATTTAAATAAGTGTAGTTCGGCATTCATAGAGTATATTAGACCAGGTGGCAATCGCTGAAGATCAAGCTAGGTTTTATTTTGATTCAACAACTTCTTGTTTTGCATAGCAACGAAAAACATTTATCAAAGAAATCCTGTTGAATATGAATACTTTTTTTCCTCCACCAAGCCAAATATTTTCTTTCATTTCATCTCATCGCAGCAGCTAGACATATGGGAAAAGACAGACAACTAGTCCTCATTACAATGGGAAAATAAAGTTCAGTAGTTCAGAAGTTTGTTGACTTGCTTATTTGCAAAGAAATTAACAAAACTGTGACCCAATTCTGCTATTCACGTCCATCCAAAATGTCCACTGAAATCAATAAAGCATTGGGTGTGCAAGGAACACAGGCATAGGGTTCAGTTTGGAAACTCAATAAAACCAGTTAGTCTTGACCTAGTCCATCAGTATTTCCCTTTACATGTGGATTAGTTGATTTCAAGTCTGTAGTGAGGAGTAGGAACGATTTATCAGGAGCTCAATTATCTTATTACTGTCACACCAATAGAGGGCTTGGCAATTACTGATATTGCTTATTATTGTTAAAAATTGTACATTGTTTATAATTCACCAAACCCACATCCATTAGTGTTTGGTTTTTCACTTTATTATGTTATGTAAAATAAAAAAATGGTGTTCATCAACAATAAATATTTCTATCAGATATCTGTCTATATTCAAATGTTTATTTGCTACTAGATCTGTAAAATTTACGGGCATAATTTAGATGGGCTATCATATTACAATCAAATCTAGAAAAGTGAGTTTTGCCTTTAGGATTCCTTCTAGCTGGGTCTGGTCAAGAAGAAATAACTTCGACATTGTTTAACCATACATAACTACGTACTCCTCCAAAACTTTATGATGGCATTCATTTTAAATGGGATAAGGAAAACGTATTTACTGTCAATTCTACTCACTGCAAAGAACTCTGGTTACCTAGATTCATCAGCTCACCTCTGTATTCAGTGTGGATGTGATGCTAAAAATAATCAGATTTCAAAATTAAACAAAACCTAAAAAGTAAGAACTTTGTTTTTATTAAGATCTCATTCTGCAGTTATCAATCAAGGAACACTGAGCAGCTTTAGTTCTCCAATATGCACAATATGTTAACACAGTGCCTGGGCGCTAATGCAGACCTGTGTATGGTATACATTTGTAACAGGCAGCAAGAAATGTAGATGGTCAAAAAATCTAATAAACTGCTCAAGAGCCTCTACAGCTTGAAAGCAATGACTTTTCAACAGACATCATCATGAGGAAATTTGGACTATAAGAGTCTATTTATAGGTAGCTGGGAACAAGTTATCAAATCAAAGGAAGCCATTCTTTGGGTGCAGTGGGCTGTTAACCAGATTTTTCTGGAGGGAGGATATTAAATAAATAGCCATTAAAGTAGATTACCCAATAGTACAATTACATGTGGCATCTTAAATGGATGCAAATGTAAGTGTGTGTGTGTTTTTTTAAGAACACACTAAATAAGTTTACCAATTTTATTTGCATTTAGTAGTTGATTTACTCATATAAAACTTGTATTTCTTTTAATGATGATGAAATCTAAGATTGCTTGCTCCACAGCTTTCCTCTTTTCTCACACATATTTAATTCCAAGTGATAAGCCAGAGTCTGTTCTTTGGGTCTTTTGCCCAGGTCTGCAGTAAACACTGCAGAAATTACTGGCTCAAACGAGAGATATGGGGTGTATTTTTGTAGCGAACAGAGCACCTGCAGCTCCCATTAACTTCAGCTGAACTTGTGAGAGTAGTGAAACTCAAGCCCCAGATAATTTTGTAAGTATTTATCACAATAGTTTAGAGTGTTGTTGTAGCTGTGTTGGTCCCAGGATATTAGAGAGACAAGGTGGGTGAGGGAATATCTTTTATTGGACCAATTTCTGTTGGAGAGAGAGACAATCTTTTGAGCTTACACAGAGAGCTCTGTGTAAGCTTGAAAACTTCTCCCTCTCTCTCGCTCTACAGTCATTTAAAGGAGATAGGATTCCATTATTTAGATTTAGGAAAAAGAGATAGCAATATTGGGATACACAGCAGAAGGTCATGAGATGCTGGTGGATGAGCTGATGGAAAAAGTATCAGTGAAAAATAAAACCAAATAAGAGGAAGAATTAGCTAAAAAAAACCATCAGGGCACTTGGTGAACTTGAGAGTTTTAAGTCAAGGACAAGGAAGACTTCTTTTCAAGTGGGAATGAAAACGTTCCACACACTCCTAGTTTATTTAAACCAGTTCTAAAAGTAGAAAGACAACGGCCTATCATAGAGAGAATTGCATCAACAGTTCCATTTTCTCAGTAGACCCCTCTCAGGGCTGGGGTAGAACTGACTCTACTACCGAAAGGGATGCTTAGCTGCTCAGTACATCATGGTTGAGCAGAGGACTATATTTCCACAATGTTTCCTAGACATCATTCATTCTACAGCCTCCACCCACATACACCTAAATAAGGGCACAGAATACACTATCACAGGCAAATAAAGCATTTAAAGACATTCCCCTCCCTTAATCAGAGTGCAAGGGAGCAGAAGAAACAGGGAGAAGACAGCAGAAGATACACACGATCCTGAGCCACTTACTCCCTCTGCTACATGTTAATATTTCCCCATTGAGGGGCTGTGAAACTTCATATATTTATACCCACAGTGTTTCCTCAAAATCAATACCGGGGAGGGAGAAGGTTGCAGGGCAGGGTTGGTCTTGTTACAAAATGGCCAAGGGGATGTTGTCGCAGGTGCGTGAGCATCCACTGAGCTCCCTTTGCTCTGCATTCCCTCATGGCAGCCAGTACCCTCAGGAACTTTACTGCCATTAAGTCCCTGCTGATGGGTGCACCATAACCCACACCCAAGAAGATGGCAGATGCAGAGAGAAGTTATCAGGAGTAACAAGGAGTCCGGTGGCACCTTAAAGACTAAGGGATAGTCTTTAAGGAAATGCCAAAATAAATCTGTTAGTCTTTAAGGTGCCAGCGGACTCCTTGTTGTTTTTGTGGATACAGACTAACACGGCTACCCCCTGATACTTATCAGGAGTAATTACTGGCCTGATTTCTGAATGGAAATCCATCCATGTCCAAGAGATCCACTGTGTGTGTCTGCTCCCTCTCAGCCTGAGCTATGGAACCCTTACTCTGAGGATGGGCTTCCTTTGTGTCAGAGGGCAGGAGGCCAATGCCATGAACCATTGCTCTCCCCTTCTGTGGAGTTAACCTCTTCTATGTCACAGGTTTCTGAGTGGTAGCCATGTTAGTCTGTATCAGCAGAAAGAATGAGGAGTACTTGTGGCACCTTAGAGACTAATAAATTTATTTGGGCATAAGCTTTTGTGGGGAATAAATGGACACAAATCAGACATCAAGAATTATAACATTCAAAAACCAGACGGAGAACACTTCAACCTCCCTGGTCACTAAATTACCGACTTAAAAGTTGTAATACTCCAACAAAAAAAATTCAAAAACAGACTCCAATGAGAAACTGCTGAATTGGAATTAATTTCCAAACTGGACACCATTAAATTAGGCTTGAATAAAGACTGGGAGTGGATGGGTCAGTACACAAAGTAAAACTATTTTCCCATGCTAATTTTTTCCCCTACTGTTACTCACACCTTCTTATCAACTGTTGGAAATGGGCCATCCTGATTATCACTACAAAAGTTTGGTTTCTCCTGATGATAACAGCCCACCTTAATTGATTAGTCTTGTTATAGTTGGTATGGCAACACCCATTTTTTTCATGGTTGTGTGTGTGTGTGTGTGTGTGTGTGTGTGTGTGTGTGTGTGTGT